AACTGATGATGGTGGAAAAATACACCGAAACGTATTTTGATTAATAAATAGAGACAATAAATGACTGAAACCCAGGAATAGATTTGATTTGGAATATATTTTAATGCATTTATTGCCATAAGGTAAACAAAAAATATTCCTTCTGAAGGTTTCCCAAAAAATCAGTTGCTGCAAATATTTAGGGGACAAGCTTTCTCTATTGTGCGTCATAGCAGCACCAGCTTTAGGAAATAGACATTAACTTATAAAAGTTCGGAAATACCGTTTGCATGTCTCCCAATGCATCACTTTTCAAAGATATTATTCAGTTCCATATTGTTTTGACAATGTCAATAAGATTTAAAACTGACTGTTCAGAGCCATTAATACGTATTTTTTTTATTCAACACAAAATTTTGCGAACCTTAGATATAGCTGTTTTCACACTTGGTCATTTTAAAGGCGCTTCAACAATGTGAGTTATTGTGTGAGCCCAACAGGGCAAATATGTCGTTGAGCGTACGAGTAGCTACATAGAGCATATGCATTATACAATTTCGAAGAAAATGACGTGTCACCCCTAAGAACCCTCGCTCGTTTATTGTTTCTGTCCAAATGTCCAATCTGAGACAAATATTGTCAACCTTTGACAATTTAGCTTTCGCTATAGCTACACAAGCTTCATATTTTTCATATTTTCCTTTTAAATATGCTGCACTAAGTAAAAAATTACGTTGAAGCACTTCCAGAAGACGTAAAAATCGTTCTCCTTCCGCAATGTTGGAAGACTGCAAGTAATTGCAGGCAAAAAACGCTAAAGCTTCCACTATTTTGTTGTATTTTGAACCTCCCTCCAAAATAGGTATATCTATTATATTCAATAAAGAAAAAGTACTAAAAATAATTTATTTGCCTTTATTGGCCGAAAACTTGCAAAAAAGCGTCTCCTGAAGTGCTTTGTGGAGGTATGTTATTATCCATACTGGCATCAAAAAAAGTGTTCCTTCCAACATGTTTTCTAATTTGGAACAGCTAGATGTTGATGGCTGTGATATCCAACTCAAATTCTTCAATAGACTTTCTGCAGTTTTTTTCTTTCTACACTTTTGACAACCAAGTATTGGTATCGAAAGAACGATTCAATTACCAAAGTACTCGGTATCGAAACAAAAGTATCGAATACCAATTTGTCTTCTTATTGAATCGTGTAAAACGTATACATTATATGTCTGAATTGCAATATTATTTTGTGCAAATCACAGATTATCAAACTATTCCTAAGACTAAGTCCAAATGTATTAATTGGCTTTACCGTTTTTCATATAGACACTTGGATGGTTTACTTTGAATATTGAAAATTGAGAGCCGAACTAGAAATGAGACTTTTATTTCATGTGTTTAGGCTATGTTAGGAAACTATTAAAAAAAACGCGATTTTTGTTTTTTTGTTTATAACTTTGAAACTAATGGAACAATTGGAATGCCCAACGAGATGATTTGTAAAGAATAAAAATGTCTACAAAATGAGGGGTTGAATTAAAACAGTAAAACCTGAAGTAGAAAATAAATTTCCATGAGCAGTTTACAATGTACACTTTAATAGTTATGTTTCCAATATTCCTTGCCAGTGTCCTTACATACAGTTACTGTGTAAACAGTAATGAAAATTAATATTTGCGACGAATCATGTGCATTATCAATAATTGAGTTTGTTTTCTATCAGTAAAATTCTGTAAGCCCAATCAAAATATTTAAATATCTACAGCTTACTGTAG